TACCCGGGAACAGCTACTATTATAATATAGGTTTGTCGCTACTTTTAAAATGTTAAGTTTCTTTACTTAATCCGAAAATGGGATCCATTAAAATTGTCTGTTTTATGAACTCAATGCCTAAATACCTTATGTATTCTGAAATTAATTACCGACCTGCCTCGATGACCTCTTTGACGCAGTGATTGATATTTTCAGTCGTCGACTTTAGCAAGCGCCGGTCATAGGATTGGTTACCAAAAATTTCCTTGTTCGTGCTCCTCCGTTCTACCAAAAGACGTGAAGCTGTCGACCCCCAAAATCGCGAATACAGACCAATCCACGCTGCACCATTACCGCTCATTAAATATTTAATTCCACACATAGGAAAGGCCTGTACACCAGCAATGGGGACATTAATACGCTATTGATTTTAACTATATTATTTTGACATTATACTGAAAATTCATTCTGAAGTTAATTTATTTTGTTACGTTTTAAAGATTGTCATAAATAATATTGTTCCAAGAAAAACGCTATCGTTATATTTTAAGATATTAATTAATTTTAATGAGATACACATCTCAATAATGCCGACGCAACCGGATAATTAATTTGGGATCATTGAAAATATAATGGAATTCGTTGCATCCGCATTCCGATGACGACTATAAATATAACTAATATAACTTCTATATCGGTAACAAGTAATCCTAAACGATAGGGTTGAATCTCTATTAAAAAAAATATATATATAGTTCTACTGTCGGAACTAGATATGATGAAAGAAGATAATAAAACTCTCTTCTTTACAAGATTAGTGATCTATTCGAAATATGGAAATCTGTTTCATAAAGTTTCTGTTCTTAGTGGAAGATTTATTAAATAAAAACAATATTACCAATTGACCAATATGATTTTTGATTTATGGAAATTAAAGGTAAGTTATTAAATAACTTAATAATTAGTTATTAACTTACTTAAATGAAATCGACTTTTCCATTAACTTATCTTTATTATGTATGAATTTAAAGATTTCTATACCTAATTAAAATATTTATGATGCTTTTAAAATATTGATAGATGTATTAAAATGATATAATATCATATGTTAGGGAAATTAGATGCTATTAAATCTATTACAGTTTCCCTGATGTGTAATAAATATGTCTTAGGGGTTCATTTATATGAGTAACCATCATATACAGTGGCGTAACTATACCATTTGAGGCCCGTGGCAAATTCATCGGATATTTATTTTTTTTAAACTTATTGTGTAATAAATATATAAATTGCAAGAGTAAGGAGTCTCTTCTCACCGGGCCCCCTTGCAGCTGGGGCCCGTGGCATTTTGCCGACTTACCACTCTGTAGTTACGCCACTGATCATATACGAATATTGTGACATTCTAAAGAAATGCATTTGCTAACCTCCTTTTTGAAATTCTTAAAAAAAGCACTAACAAAATCTAATACAGATCGGTATGCTTATCACGTATGCTTGAAGCGCTGTATTCGCTCAATACCGTTAACAAGTCCATTAACAAAGCATACAAACGTTGGCCCAATGTCATACAAGACACTAGATCAACCACCATATATAGAGTTTCTAGAGTCAATATCATACTTTTTATTACTAACACCATCTGTGATCTTTGACAAACAACATCGCGTTAATTGTAACACTTAAACCGATATAGATAAGACATAAATTTGAATGACCCGACACAGAAGTTAGTAGGTACGATGATCGAGGCAGTTTCCTGCGCTTAGACGGACTTTCCAGTGTTCTCTTTACTTAGATACAAGTTTTATTACCAATAAATCACAACAAAAAATAATTACTTACTTGACTTATGAAAATAAAATTTTAGGTATCTTGAGATTTATAATCTTTCAAGTATTACATATGGATAATATTATCAGTGAACGAACGCATAATATTTTATCGAAAAAAAGTAACGAAACATAAATCTAAAGCTACTCAATATGAAGTTCAAATATAAAAAGGGTAAGTTATTTTTAATAGATACTTAATTTATAATAATATAAATATTTAATTTTCAACAGATTTTAATTTATGATAAAGACTTCTCCGGAAAGTTTCTCGAGAAAGGCTGGCAAAATTCTCAAAATCGGTTGGAGATTGCAAGAAAACTTATAGACTACATTCTAGTTCTGATATTTTTATTGTTATTGTTGCCTTTTATTTATATTTATCTAATGCGTAAAGTATAAATTAAGATATTATATTTGTATATTTTTTATTTAAATTGGCTTTCTGGCTGGCAAATGCAAAATGTCTTTGCAACAAATCACAAAACTAGCAGTATTATTTAAAAGAACAAACAACACACAGGAAAGGCATAACTCATAACTCAATTAACATAAAAAATTGACTCAGTAAATTGACTTTTAAAAAAGAGTTTTTCCAATTACGTTCTTTTAAAAAAGAGTTCTCCATAAAGTAGGTTGCAGGCTTTTCCACGATAAAAAAAAAGAAACCGAGTGTTAAAGTTAAAGAGGGTGGATTCAAAGAGCTCTAAGAAAAATGGCTTAGTGTTGAAAGTGCAATGCAGAAACAGGCTGGCCTACGATGGCCTAATTCGACATCGCGTGGCTAGGAAGCTTAGTATGGATTTTGATGCACCATTGAAAAAGGCACGATAACCTAAAAAGCTTATTATGTCAGTTTAATAAGGATGACGACTAATTTTCGTTTGTTTTCCCGTTAGGTAGATTATTGAAAATTATTAAACACAGATTTTTCTATTTTTCGCTATCATTAAATTATGGCGAGACATTGAGCTAAAATGTCATATGACGTCATGCTTTTGTATATTTCTACAAAACTGTGACGTAGCGAGCCCTTCTTACTTTAATGCCTGTTATCTAAGCTATTTCTTGTTAAATAGAAGTAAAAAATACGTATCTAATATTTTTCTATGATCTGACTATGGTCTACATAGAATTTCTTGTTTTTACCCAGTCGCCAACCCTATTTTAATATGTAGGTGATTTTACACTTGAGCTGTATAGTTTGGTCGTTGGAGTATGGAACATGGAGCTCGATAGTGCCTTCGATCTGCGATTAGTAAGATAAACATTTTTCGCAAAGGTCAATAATAGGATTGTTGACCAAATATTTATATTACATGGTTCGTCCATGTCAATTCCTTTTGATCGGTTTCCAACCATAGAGAAGGCCCGTGCCACGGCAGTTTTCGGTCACCCACCTTGGCCCTATGTCTGGCCCTTGCGAAAGATTACTTAGCTTTCGTATCGCAGAACGACCATACTAACTACTACTTCAGCGAGCTCCTCAAATGCAGCTTAGCTATTATAGTTTTCACCTTGTTTTGCGGACTTCAGAACTAATATTAATAAAGGTATGCAAACTTTTCTAGAGCACACGGTGCCTCATATATTTTTTTGCATTGAAATTATAACGTATCTATGATCGTGACTCTCATACGATATCATTTTTATGTAGTGTGTATAATTATTTCAATATACAGTAAAATTTAACAGTTACAAATCATTTTGGTAGGTACTGTTTTTATAGGCCTCGCAAATCGCTATGTCAATTTTAGCTATGGTAAGCCACTGTTCTCTATCCTTGAACTTGTGTTGTCTATCACTATACAATTAAATAATTTTAAAATCGCACGCAATATCAGTAACGGGCATTGCGAGTTTATTGAACCGTTAGCTGTGGAATTATCTTGAACTGCCAACTGTTCTTATTTTGAACCTTAATTCGTACATTTCAAAATTCGAACTGTTTATGAACTGACCAAGAAGTTTATAATCGGACAGATCGATCGGTCGCGCCTCGAGTCCAGAAACAAACAGCATCAATGCACTGCACTTTCTTCGTGAATAGATTAAAAAAAAAACATATGAAATCAAAAAGACATCTGTCACCTTCACCATAAAGTTTAAGATTGGTTACAAGCTGCTATTTAAATATAGCCACATCAAAATGGACTACAAAATTTTTTGGTGTGAACTGGGGATTCTCTGAAAGGTTAAGGCAGTCACACGAAAGTTCGTGACTTTGCCAATTTGCTTTAGTAACTATTATTCTGTAACGGTACAGAAAAAAAATCATAATGCAAACACGTCTATCTCATCCGTCCGTAAGTCACCGTCGCTCCAAATTTTATTACAATACACGAATTTTATTATTTGCCATCACAAATGAAAAGTTTGGCCGATTTGTTTTGATCGCTAAGTTAGACCGTTGCAAAGTGTATTTTATAGTAATGTTGGGAACAAGGGTACTGGGTAGAATTTACAGTTTGAGGAAATCCCATTGACTCTGACACGGTCACGGTAATATTTTACGAAGATGTAACTTTGTGTAAAATAAACAATATACCTATGTTTATCGCTTTTACCCATATCTATAAAACATTATTATATTTTTTTATTATATTAGTTTACGTCGCATGAAACGATCTGAAAATAAAACGATTGATCTAATTGGAATAACAGAAAAAATATCGAAATCTACTCGTTGTAGAAGAGCATGGATAATTAATGTATATCAGTAAACTTACTAAAACATTAAACAGAAGCTTTACTTTAGTCTTTTTAAGTCTAACCACGAACATAAGATAGATTTTGTATAAATAAATATTCATAATTTTGCTTACTGGATTTACGTATGAGCGTATATAAGTAAGTATTCGTTATCTATTGTAAAAGAGCAAACACATAGAAAGTATCTAATCAAATCTATATCTAATTAAAAAAATATATCTTACTAGTTTGACTACTATATTACTCCTCTGTCCTCTGAGTCTGACCTAACCTAAATGAATAAATTAATTCATTTCGTTTAGGTCAGAATTAAAGTAACCTAAATTTTGGGAATAGCCATATGAATATGAAAAACCCAAGGCGACGAACTACTTCTGGTGTAAATCTTCATAAGTTTTGTAAAACAGGTTCGGCGGGAGTCTACAATCTCAAATCAGATGAAAAAGAATATAAAACCACAGTTGCACCAGTACTTACCACCACAAATGACATCCGCGAGATTGGTTTGCACGCACTGATGCGTGATGGCGCCGTCCCTGACCGTGGTGATTTCTCCGTAGAGCTGGTGCAACGCCTCCTGATCCGACATGAGGATGGTGCGTGGTGAACAGTCTTCGTCTAATCCGTTGGCGTGTCGGGATGACGAGCGTGACCTTGAGCGGCGTCGTCTGAAATATATAAAAGAAACTATATTTAGATCATGTGATTGTAGTGTATTTTGAGATTGACTTGATGGAACTTTTGTAAGAATTATTCATCGAAGTGGAGATCAAAACTTAGTATATCAACGTCTTCTATGTTTCAGAACGCACGTTGTCTTAAATATTGATATCTGTAGACGATAATATCCACTGATTCCCACTGGATTGTGCTGGGTTAACATGGCAATTTTTTTCCTTTATGCTATTCATAGGATATATTATGTCCTTTTCAGGATTTCATAATGAAGCAAAAACTTTTGGATTAATATAAAAATCTAGTAATGGTAGACCGGGAACGATGATAATTAAATGAAACGAACATGTACGGTTTTCTCCGTCCCTCTCACAAGTTTCTTCCCCAGTCAATGGCTCTTTTGGCCTTCAGATAAACACACCTCAAAGTATTATATCAAAATTAATCTTGGTCTTTGCTTTGGCGACATCATTGACACGTAATAAGTAGCTATTACGCGTTATAGATCATAATTGAAAACTTCGGGTAGTATAACTTCCTGACGCTTTCAGCGGAAAGCTAGACCAAAAGTAGCTCAAAATTTCATAGTTTACTCACTCTTTGTCTCGCTTCAACCTATTTCTCGAGTCTCTCGAGTTCGTCATGCTACGCGGGTTGATGTTTAAGATAATTGAAGGGAAGTTCAAGAGAAAAAATTACGTCCATAACACGTTTCCTTATCTTCTTATGAATTAAAATTATAACCCGTCATTGTGAATTATAAGTCAATTTGATTTGGAAACGCAACTATTAGTAAATAAACAACGGCGCAAAAAGCTTTTTTAAATTGTTATGTTGGGTATTCCAATTTAATTTAATGACGTTACGAATCGGATCTTGGAGGACCTCTATGGTTTTTTTATCTCTGTAAATAGTTTCTAGTTTTTGCTCACGCTTAGAAATGAACGTCATTGAAATTACAGTTAGACGTATGAACCGGACATGATAGGTTTTTGTTGATATTTTGTTATTTGTAACTTGGTATATTGCTTTTTGTGAATAACTTGATTTACTTTGCGGTGAATTATTTATCGTACATATCATTAAACAAAGCTTTTTATAAATTAGTTTCATTTACATGATATGTTTTATATTGTAAATACAAACAATCCATCAATTAATTCAGAGCGAAATGAAACCAGTGTTGTTTTGAAGAATTCTGAAAATATAAATGAGAAGTAGAATCAAAATTTCTAGAAAATGAATATAACTGAACATTCTTCTTCTTCCTTTGGATGTTACCGCAAGTAGAAGTCGAAATGTTGCCTGATTTTCGCGTGAAGGATGGTGCCCCAGCTCCACCACAACATCTTAGTCTTTTCTAATTGATCTTTCAGACTACAGGAAGACTTTTAGTCCAAAATCTAAGAGTGCAAAAAGGTTATTCAAAGATTCGTTTGCCACTAAACAATTTTTTTTTTAAATTAAACCGTCATTATTCTATTCACGTATTGAAGTTTGAAGAGAAACGTCTGATCAAACGAGTTGACTTATTTTAGTTGGATTATGGTAAAATAAAATGTTTTTAGCTATTTTTTTATAAATATACCTATAATATTTAAACTTCACCTTTACTTAGGTAATTATTTGTCGATTCATAGACCTTGTTGAATGAACACAAATTACAATCCATTAATCAATTGTTATGTGTTATTAATAATATAAGTGAAGCTTGCAAATGATATAAAAATAATAATAACACATTAGTATTGACTCTGTACTGCTGGTCATAATTAATTGAATTCCAATTGTAAGTTCTTAATGTTTTATTAAATTTGGAGATATAAAGCTCAGCGTATAAATGTAAGCTAAGTATGCGATATGAGCTATTAACAAAACAAAAATCGGCCGAAAACGAAATTATGTTAAAATTTTATTACCTACCTATCAATTTGGTATGTGTAAACCAGCCATTAGATATTTATATAAACAAAATCACACATCTATAGTCCAGTAATTGTAAATACTTGAGTAAAAGTAATTGCTTAAGCAAATATTTTTACAAATAAACACTAATTTGAATAAAGTAAGAACTGTTAATTGTAATATTATTATTATTAGCTATTAACAGATCTTATTTCCTTCAAATTCTCGTCTATTGCTTAAAAATATCTGCTTCAAGTTATGCCTTTTTACCAAGTAATTACTTCTCTCGACTAAGCATACGAGTGAAAGAGCTAAAAAAAAACGGATGACCTATTTCATTAATCTCAATTTACTTTTAAATTTATATATTTTTTTCTGATTTAAAACTATCAGAAGGCTTAATAAATTTCATTGAAGACTATGTATATATTTTAAAGTACGTAATGACATCTAGTATAATCTCGAGAAATACTTTTTTTTAATACTTCCTTATTGGACAGTTTTACAAATAGGTAAAGTAGGTTTTTGACATCACACTTGTTTTTTTATTATTAAGTGAACGGAAACAAATATACTTTTTGAGAGCTTATATGAGGTCAGCTCTTGATATTTACTCCCACACAAATAAAATAACACGATATTCGTGTAATAATACTATCTCGATAATAATATAATATACATTTAACCTTATTTGGAGTTTTGTAGTAGTTACAATAAAATGAGTTCGATTGATATTAAAATAAGCTTCGTATTACAAATGACATTTATGTATTTCTAGATATCAAACGAAAAATATATCTGTTTGTGCAATTACAATTGAGAAACGCAAGGGTCGCACATCGCACACTGAATAAGGATTGTGTAAATTTTCATACAGTTTTAGCATTCGTTATAATAATAATATAAAACATTCATTTAACTTGTAATGTACTTAGTAGCTCGGTGGCATAGTGGATAAGCGCTGTGGCACGCGATCGTTGTCGTTAAGCAACTTTCGCAAGGGTCGGTCACGAGATGGGTGACCAAAAGAAATTATTATCTCGGGCTACTCCGTGCTTCGGAAGGCACGTTAAGCCGTTGGTCCCGGCTGCCTACATATGCAGTTAATACCCGCCAATCCGCATTCGGCCAGCGTGGAGGGTCATGGCCCATGCTCCTTAACCATCCATAAGGAAGGCCTGAGCCCCTGCAGTGGGGACGAAATAAAGAGCTGATGATGATGTACGTTTATAATTGTATGTTATTCAAAACTTACAACCTAATTTTAAAGCATTTGTAAATAAGATATTTTTAATTACAATTTTTTGTTTAAATGAATCAAAAAGTAAAGAATAAACTACATATAAAATAACTAAATAAAACGAATAGTTCTATTGAAATATTATCCTACTAAAAATTTTAATGCGGAAGTTTATGAGGCCGTATGTTTGTTAATCTGGAACGTAAAAACTAGTGAATGGATTTTGATGAAATTTAGTATACGGATAACTTTAAATACCATAACTGTCAAGTCGTCGTATAAACCATTTTGGCGAGGTTACTGGCGAAAAGGTAGAAAAAAGTAGAAAGTATATTATAAAAGTTTTTAGTAATTACACTACTAAGTTGATGTTATACTTAAGTAAATAAGTGAACTGTTACTACAATCACTTGATAAAGTCTGCTACTGTTCAGTTATATTCCTCTTTAGGTAAAAATGGCAAAATAATCTAGCTTAATTATTGGCTCATCTTTATTTCGACTCCACGACGTAACTTCTCCGCCAACTTAAAGTTAAAACAAATAATATAAATTGTACCACAGATACACATTCAGATTCTGTTATTTAATTATCTTTTATTTATAAGGTATCAACACCCAGGCAGTAGACAATATCTAAACATTCATTTGCTATATAAACTCACTCGGGCAACGAACTATGGGAACCTTGAAACTGTTTTGGAACGAAAACCAATTTATAATTAGAGAAAGACTAAAAAAACTATGTTTCTTAGCTTGTAGCTTAGTCTTTTTCTAATTATAAATTGGCGAATGAAATAAACATTGCATTTTAAGAACTAACGTCGTGTTAAAACAGAAGCATTTGCTCATCAAATTCACGGCACGAACATATCACAAAATGTCTGCCGGTGACGACGTTTTAAAATGGCGCGGGGTGCATGAATCAGCTGTCACAGCACACCATTAATCTCTGAAACGCATTTCTTTCACGCATTTATTAATGAGATTTGTATTTTTTGACACAAAGAAAACCGGGCTTGTCTGTACAAGAATATTTGTCACAATAAACAATGAAATAAGAGCTTGAGATAATATTTTTCACCGTGTAACTTGTTTCAGAATTTTGCAATAAGGTCTTGTTATAATAAACATCTCGTTGAACATATTTTTATAGATATTTTAGTATAATATAATAATAATACTCATTTATTCTCTCTACACAAAATTATTTACTTACATGTGTCTTAAGATTCTTAATACATTTTGTATCTTAATTTTGTGAGAGATGAGCCTGAATATAAATGCAGTTTTATTCTATGAAAGTTTAAATTAACATCTCTGTCACTATAATAACTTACTTGCAAACTGTTATGATGATTGTTAAAGTTTTAATTATAATATAACCCTCAGCTACAAAGTAACTCGCTTATTTATCATAATTAAATTTATTGAAAAGAAATAGAGAATAGCGACATATAAATATAAAACTATTTAGTTAATTTTGTGATATTTAATAAATTCATGTTTTAGCTGTGACCAATGAAATCTAGCTTTTATGAACCGCTTCGTACTCTTGATTGGGTACAGCGCCTGAGTATGCTACTTAACCAATCAAAAGTGCAGAGCAGCACAATTGCAATGTCGATCGGTCGGGATTGTTGGAGAGTAAGGGGCAGGTCTAACGATTAAATTTTTTTTTACGTATGTGCTCTGTATGCAATGTAATAACCGATCAAGATCTTTAAATGGTGTGTGTCAGAAATGAGACCCAAAGAGTACAAATATTCTATCAAAAATGTAACAACATTCTCGATTCACCTTTATTGAATGAGACTAGGATAAATTGGCAAAAAATGAAATTGATAACAAAAACTAAATCATTTACAAAAATAATAGAAAAAAGAAAGATATAGAAATAAATATACTCTTTTACATTATAATTATATTTTATTTCATTGTACAAAATCAAATGAAATTTAGCGATTTTTAATGTACCTCTTAAGTATCAACCTACTGACAATTTATCTTGACGTTTTCTATTTAACTCAAACGAAATCTTAAACTTGTAGTCATTTCAAGCGATACTTGCTCACTCGTGTGTCACATTTGTGTAATTAATTATAAACGGTTGATCAAGATACTTTTAATGCCGATTTTTTACTCAACCTTGTTATAGTAATTACTCAGATTAACATAAAACAACACTTTGACAGTTTGGACGCTCAGATCATCAATCTGAAAACATTAGCAAAGCAAACACAGTTTATTTTTAATAAGTAGATATACTACCTGTTTGAAAGTTACGAAGATAAACCCAGTTTTTTGTTATCTTTAAAGAGAAAGACTACACGAGAGCATTCTAGCTGAAATTATTAAAGTGAAAAGATTCTAGGCGATTATTGAGAACTAGTGAGTTATTAACTGGATTTCTATGTCAAGCAATTTATTATATTTCATTCATTTATTAAAGTTACTAGTATTTGAATACATTAATATAAACAAACAAATCAATGTTATCAAGGTAAACGCATAAAAACGTAAAAAACAAAAGCGATATCACATTCTTAGGATTGGATATATACTATATTGATTTAGCGCAAGATATGATAGCTATTCTGGATAACCCTCACCAACAGTATTGCGTATTGCATAGAAAATTATTGAATACCATTATTGGGCAGCATGATCATTAATTAGATTCGGGCCATAAATTAGAATAGTACAAACGATATAATAATTAAATAAAAACTTTTATCGACTTATTTACGCAACACGAGCTGTGGTCAGTGGATGATACAAGTATACTATAGAAGATTGAAAGCGCAATAATTACAATTGGTCTAAATTAGCAATGATTAAGACACATTAAATTATGTGTTTATTATTAAAATAAATATATGAATCTGTTTTTACGGGGCTAAGTTTCAGCTTATTAAGGAAAACCCGAGATACGGGGTATGTAATTGTTTAATTTAAGTACTTATACTTTCATAATTTTAGTAATACATAAAGAACTGTTGTATTCTTTTTGTTTTACTATAAATATACTTTTCAAGCCTAGTCAGCCATTTCAATTACTACCAACATCGAAACTCATAAACCGAACCCATCACAGACTGATGATGAGACTCAAGCACTGAATGAATCATCAACCAAAAAAGCATTTAGCTTTATAATATGCAGTATTACGTATCAGATATGATGTGATACTAATAAATCCACATCCTACGGCAGACTTTTTTGTTTTGCTATAAGCTTTCGAACAAAACGGATTGCTCCCTAATTCTTTTCAAATATCGACATATCACTTTACAATAAGGGAAATTCATGTAAATTACTCACTCAGGTGTGACTATGAAAAACCCCCTCGAGGTCTGATAGATCTTCCTTTCCTGCATGAGCTGCGCTAGCGTGTCGTACACCACTTCCTGTGAGGGTGTCTGCATCGATGGGAATTTCGCTGAGAGAGACGTTCTTATGCTCTCTAGTGTCGCTGATTGCCCCTGGAACAAAATGGAGAAATCTTACTTTCATAATTTTAGAGGAAATTAGAAATCTCGAAGACTTAAGTATACCGTAGGTGATAAGGGCAGGTCAAAGTAGTAAGTAATTAAAGTAAGGCTAAATTCATTTCATAACAGTAATGTCGCTTATCTCTAAGGCAAAAAAAATACAGTTTGGTTTCACGTATAATGGGAACTCACAGTCAGCTGATCACAGATGGTGACAGATTTCACGTGTGATTTGAACGCGGCCTCAAGGCTCTTAAACTGTGTATTTAGAAATATGCCTAAGTTGTCGGACAAGCTTATATTTTATTTACTTAATGCTTATTTAGAACAGGTGAATCAGAGATGTTGCTAGCACTCAGGCTGATTCTGGCAGAATTAAATGTTGTTACTTGAAAATTATTGAAAAAAAGACATCGGACTGTCTACTTAGGGATGTAAACGCCTTTTAGAATAACAAAATAGTGCATTTAACAATAATTAACACTAAAAATTGAAAACTAAATTGTAACTTTCTATAAAATATCAGTCAATCGTCGCTAGTCGACGGTTTATATAAGCTTAGGTGGTGACCATGCATTGTTATTGAAGAAAATGTAAAATTTGGTGAGCCTTATTAAAATTTTAATAAATTTAGCATTCAAAAGTTTGACATAATGCTGCAGTAGACTGTAGCATCGACAATCGGTATTTCGCTACTAATTACTCATAAAACATTACAGAACCGAAGCTGCGATACGGGAATAACCCTACAACATTGAACGGTATTATAAATTGTTTGTACAATCAATAAAAATAATAGATTGGAATCAAAGAAAAACAAGGTATGTCTTCATAAGATTGACCTCTGCTCTTTAGAGGCTACTATGATATTTGAAATTGGATGATAAATAATATCCGCGATAGCAATCGTATTTTCAATTGGATGTCGTGGCCTTGACTATACCTTGTTTTATGGACGAGTAAAATATATAATAAACAGATATCTATTTGATATATGTCATATATGTCGGTTTGATATATGTCGAGGAGTTTGATGGCGCAGTAGATAGCGCTCTTGGTCTGCGATACAGTTGTTAAGCAACTTTTGCAATGGCCGGCCATAGGATGGGTGACCAAAAATTTTGTATCTTAACTCCTCTGTGCTTCGGAGGGCACGTTAAGCCGTTGTAAGTCCCGGCTGCATATGTTCGTTAAGACCCACCAATCTACACCCGTCTGGTGGGTCATTCTATTCTCCCTATTCAATTTCATTCGATTGCATCCATCGAGAAGGTCTAAGCCCCAGCAGTGGCAACATAAATATATATAATCAATATATAATCAAACACACCAACAGACGGGATACATAGAAATGTGATTTTGTTAACATTCAAAACAAGATATTAGTTAAATTATAGTAGTAATAACGAAACCACAAACATACCCACAGAAAAAAAAAATAATATGGAAATTGGAGTGAAAATTGCAATATCCACTCTAACATAAGACAAAATACACACTATGTGATATTAGTCTTTATTAAAATAAAATTGAAATTTCTTGTGAATTGTCAATTATTTTTAACGAATAAATGAATTAGGTACCACAGATATGGCAACACCGTAGATTCAGCACGGCGTGCAAACAACAGGGGTCCGTAGAGGTTTGCGTTACTAATGACTGACGAAATCAAAAGTTTAACATCATAGTTAAGAGATGGATGGCGAAATATAAATCCCTCTTGGTGTAAACATAAGATGTCGATGACAAAATATGATTTATCCTCCCTGTTCTCTCTCAATCAAAGTTAATAAAGACAACTATAAGGAAGTTTTCATTATCCATAGTGTCTTGATTTGGTTGTTGACTCTATAGTGAAGTATGCACGGTCCATAACCCACCGCTTGGGACTAGTGGTTTTCATCACCAGCCTAATGTCCCGCTGGAGCACAGGTTTTCCCTATGGATGGAACAGATAAGTTACTGTTACTCATTCTTCTTATAAATTACAAAACGTCGTAAAATGAAGGACGTAAGATAAAAATATAAAATTGTAATGTGTATGTATGTCATTTGATCAAAGAATATTTTGAGTAATTTTATTATATTTAACGTAATTAACGTAGAATAATTTAAAATAACACAAACAAACAGCATTTTGATTACCAGAAATCTGGTTAGATCAAAATGTTAACATTAATCCAAATTCCAGCTTCAATAATATATCGAGACAACTTCGTTATTGATTAGCGTTATCTTATCCTTAGACACACAATAAAACACTTGAACGGCCTTCAAGTTGCTAAATCGGGCAGTTATTAATGAGGTTTTATTATGAAACCCGAATATTTTATATTGTAGATCAAGTTATAACGACTAAGGTTGTCAACAGTTCTATATTACTACATAGTATGAAACAAAGTCGCTTTCTCTGTCCCTGTATCCCTATATAGCTCCTTCTTTGCCATGGTAAAGAAGGAGCTTCAATTAAACTCAAAAGTTTATTCCGAAGTATGCCAATCTTGTTATGAAACCATCAGCGGTGTGGCATATACAAGAAACAATGCGATCAGTTATTATTCCAACAAAGGTACTATGATCTAATTGTGCGGTATTTCTAGTTAGTTACCATGCCCCTTATGCAAATTTCTTTCTGAACATTCCTGCCCACATTCGGTATTTAGGCAGACTTGTCGTGCTCTACATTAAGTGTCTGGGTGCATATTCTGTAAGCGTGAAATTCGTACAAGTTTGATAACTTAGTTTTTTTATTACATATATTCTCGTCGCCAGTGATAGCTGAAAATGTACGTGTCTACATTGAGTAAATAATCATATATAATCTACATATAATTGGAGCTAAGCAAAATATATTATTGTCGATCGAACGGAAAACTCGATAAATACATGATTTTGGAGAGTTTAAAAATTAAAATTATTATTACTATTAAACATTATTTGTGTGTATAATAATAAATGTGTGTACGTCTGTCGCTTGACTTCTATTAAATACTTTAGATTAATTATTTCTAATAAATTATAGCCTTTTTTGGACATAATAATATATTTTAAATATAGGCCAGATATTTTTTTTAATAAGAAGATTAATTTTGATTATTAGATCCAAAATTCTATAACAATATTTTTATATTATTAGTTTATGTATATATTTAAAATGAAACAAAACGTAATTGTAACCTATTTAATGTTTTTAAATCAGTATGAGCAGTAATTTCATATGACATTGATTTCGAACTACCGAGTCACAAGACCCGTTAGTGCATAGAGAATAGGCCCCCAGCTGCAATGGATCGGGTTCATATACCTTACACAATACCAGTTTGACAGTACCTACTTAAAGTCGATTGTTTTTAAATCAATTCAGTTTCAACAACTATTTCGAGATTCCATATTAGTTTCGGTGGATGTTGCGTTGTGTTTTAAAGGTTTTTATGTCGCCCCGGAGTACCGACCTCGTCAGTACGTTTGGGTGTTACTTTGCCCAGTTAAAATTGTGTAACTATATCATCGTTCCACTCAAAAGACGCGCAGATTAGGTGGTGTAAATGTTATATGTTTCGCTAAACTTAGGAGTCGCTCAGATCTGTCGCCTAAATATTTAGGAATCGCCTAAGGTGAAAATGCATTTCACCAATGAGTAAGAACCACCTAACGACATTAAGCAATGTCTAAAGCCATGATATGCGGCGTTTAATACTAGGTTTATTGGCACTTTTCTTGCGCTTTTCTCACCTAACAACACATTGTTATTTATAAAAATTGTGAAAAAAAATGTTTCGTCAAAATACCCTAATTTTTATTTACGCCGCTTTTTATTTTATGATTTTTTACCGACACCAACTGTTGTAGCCATTTTTATAAATCCACCAATCCAAAACAAAATTAAAAACTGAACACAACAAAATCATTTAAATGAAATATTCGATGCCGCATGTTTTTTTATAGTTTTTGGCTTTCCCGTTTCAAACAAACAAGCAGATGGAGAGAGTAACACGTAATTTGTTTTACTTTTTCTAGAAATTTTATAGGTACGTGAAACCGTGTCGTATATATAAATCCAGTATTTTTGCTTTTAAAAGTAAATCTGTTTTCTAATAGCTCACAAAAGCTAAAAAACCGAAGTGTTAGCATTAAGTAAAATAAAATAATATTGCACTAATTAACCTAACATCTTACATATTACTCATCCTTATTGATAATTAAGATAACTTACGAAATCACCAGTGTCTATAATTTCTATAAATCATAATACCCTTGAAACGACATCGCAAACCTACATTTATTAGAATTTAATTTATCTTTATAAAAGAACGATTGAATGCGTCGGTTTCATTAAAGCTAATTTTAGCATAAGTTAGACATAGAACTCATTATTACAATCATTAATAATGAAAATGACCTCATGCTGAATAAATCTATAGTGGGTGGAATAAAACGAAAATGACCAAAGGAATTTCTCAAGATGACCGTCGGTCGATGAGATACAAGTTGTAGGGATTGGCGGATTTAAAAAATTGAACCCCGCTGTGTTGAAACTGGAGGGTTCGCATTCTGCACTTGAAGTCATCTTTGATTAATTTAGATCTGCCAAAGGAAATTATGACCAGAATAAGATGTCAAAACATTATCTAACTAAACTATAAGGATTTACTTTTTAATATCCAATTTTCTTAAGTATATTATTATTAAGAAAATTGGATATTTATATTTACAAATAAATAATATGAGACAACATCAAAAGCATTTCTCAGATTTCAAATTAAGTAACTAATTCACAAAATCCAGAACCGAAACAATATAGCAAAAATCATTTTCTTTAAAAATCCAACTAGAAATTGTACCAGGGCCCACAAAAATGGTGACATGCTACTCGGAGGTACAGAGGTACAGAACATACAAATTCAGTAAAAGTTTCTGTAATTAGTAAAATACAGAAAAGCACTCTAATGAAATTGAATTATCGGGAAAGTTTTATTGAACTTAGCTACAGTACAATAATTATTAAAAAGCGGTATCACTACTAAAAATATATATAAAATAGTTATAATATATCATTTATTAATAAATGTTATATTAGGCGTTAGTGTTATATTAGGCCCAATAGATCTATTGGGCGTTGAGAAACATTCAGCAACTGAGTTATTTACATAAATATATTATCTGCAATCGTTGCAATGACTATAGCAATAAAAGAATACTAAGAAGTGTCCTTAACACGAGATTCTTATATTAAAAATTTATCATTCTTAAACATTCTTCGAAACAGCATACGACTCTATTTCAAATGTGTCGTCCGTCGAGGTTTTATTTATTTTTGGACCACATCTCGGAGATATTCGCCAGAACAGGTTCGCACACTCCCAGGCGATGTTTTTTTTTTTAATTTTACCACGTTTCATGGCCAACAGTCATCATTCCGGTATCGCCTCACCGTCTCGCCCCACCGGCTTTCGTGTCACGATTCTAATGTCGGTTTTTTATAAAATCAACTAATCGGCCGAAATCAAATATTGTATGTTCCGCTCTCACTACTGTTTCAGTTAGAAACTTTAAATAATTCCGAATTTATAAAAGCATATATTTATTTGTTTTGAATACTATCAGTCATCATTCCGGTATCGCTTTCTTTCTTCTGGTAACTGTTTTGAAACAGTATTAAAATTGAAGATGAATACATATTAGATCTAAAAATTTTTTAGAACATAAGAACAGCAACATCCTTGGTGTGTGGTAGGTTTTGCACGGTATTCGGTATTGTCTCGCGAGACACGCGACGCACACCAAGGGTATCTAATATAAGTCAACAATTTAAAATTCTAACGACGATACTGTACTGATTATTGCATTGTTTATATTTAGTTTTCAGAATATCGGTTAAATTATTTTATTTTAGAATTAAATTTAAATCTAAAAATTTAGAATTCGTATCGAATTTTATCATCGTAAAGGACCTAAATCTATAAAGTAATATTAAAAAGAGGTCAGATTGAATTGTTTCTTTGCATTGAATAGGTTATGATAACTACTAAGCCGGTTTAAATAAAATATTTTACCATTAGAATCCTATATTATCCTGATAAACATAAGTTTTCAAATACGTTCGGGGTCCGTATGGAAACTTCATTCGTTACAAACGTTCCGAATTTAAACGATCAAATTAAAAAAAAACGTTACTTTCATTACAACATTCCTAAAAGGTTTTGATTACGATTCAATAGTAGAATTTACTCAACGGTAACAGTAGGTATTATAAAAACTTGTACGATCGTGACTTAACAGTTAAGTGAAATACTGATTTTGTTATTTTTCTACTCATTACGTATATTTAAGGTTCGCACGACTTCACTTTTTGCCTTTTCCATAATATTCTTTATGGAATATATTCGACTGGTGGGAATGACTATTACATTCTTCTGATTGACTACCTTTATTTGATTAAAACTATAATTTATCTCAAATATTTTTTATGGTTTTTGTGAAAGCAAAACGAATACTTTGGATTCATTCTTTGTTATATCTATCGCAGTTCACAGATAGTTAGCACTAATTTATTTTAAAAGACGCCATTGTTTATATTTTAACTTTGTTTGTTTTATTTTAGTCCTAATTATAGCATATAAAAAAAAAACATACTATACAACCTTGTGTGAAAGGAAATAAATAAATTATATTAATAAATTATTTATAAATATATAATCCATTAATATCTGAGAAATGTTGAAGTAACAGCATGTCTGCGAATAATAGTTTCGGGATACGGTAATGTGTTTGTGTAACTGCTTCAAGTCGGCTGAAAACGCTCCCTACAAATTCAAGCCACTAAGTGACGTCACACAGTGCTATAGTAGCGAAAAACGTATGGGTATCTGGGCAATCTCTGTATTATCTTTGTTATTTGTGCATTTATGTTTATAGTTGGTATAATGACACTTGTTACGTCTTACGTAACTAATTTAATGCCATATGTATTTTAGCAAATTTTCGTAGGAAAATTTTCCTACCTTTTTTCAAGTTTTCAAAGCGTAATATTTTCCAAATAAGTGTTATAAAATTAATTTTATTCGATATTTATAAGTTAAAATGGTTTATATTTTCTGAAAATTTAACAGAATCCTTTATTTTCACATGTAGGATACAAGCCTATAGGAATATTTGATTTTTAGACTAGAAAGACTAAATTAATTTGTATAAATAATAATAATAATAATTATTATTATTATAAAGTCGATAGTCGATTTGAAAAAACTCGAGCTACTCAGTGATTCGGAAGGCACGTTAAACCGTTGGTCCCGGTTACTACATTTGCAGTAATACCCTCCAATCCGTATTGGGCCAACGTGGAGGGTCATGGTCCATTCTCCTTAACATAAGGAAGTCCTGAGTCCCTGCAGTATTGACATAACAGGACTGATGATGATGATGAGGGACTGCAGCTGTGACCGTATTATCTTTTTCATTTCTCATTAAAAAAATAGGTGTTAGGTAAATGAGAGTACAATGTCTTATGAAAATATTCATAAATTATAAATAAGTATTAATCACTCTTTTTTAATCACATCGACTATATAGTCATAAATTTTGAATAACGAACCACGAACATTTTTCATAGCATATTTGTATATTTCGAAATGTATTTGATATCAAAATTGTTCAGTTGTAGCTTTGGCATACCAGAGTTGGCCCCTTTGATATTTTTGGAACATGTAAGCATTTCCCATTGATTATTACAATTCTATAAACCAAACATTTTATTTTTATTACACTCTTGCATTTGAAAAATAAAACACCTTTTCTTTAGTTTAATGAACTGCAAACACAAAAAAATGATAATTGTTAATTTACGGTTTCACCGGTTGTAAGTTCTTATATTAGGTTTTATTACCTGTGACGTTAGGTCCATAATGCAATCACATAACGCCTCTGGCAGCGGTGTAAACTGGCCTTGGTACGCTGGGGTTACTATGCAGTCTTCGATGTCTCCTGGAAAAGAAACATCTCAAAATAACAACAATTATTAACTTCTTCAAAGTAAAACCTTTGACTATGCCAAATTTCAGAAACCTCCATTCTGATAATATTTGTAAAAAGGTATAATTTTTGGGTTTCCTTATTAGGTCACTCGGTTGATTGTTTGTCTGTCAAAGCCGATTATATGTAAGTTGGTGACGCAAAAGGATATAAATGTATTTGAAATTATGGCGACCACTTGCGAGGGGGTTAATAAACAGTCACATATCAAATGAAAGGGCTTGTTCTTGCCGAAAGGACTGTAATAAATCAGGCTCGATGTCGAACACAGGTACACACAGCATAGAGGTTGAATGAAATAAATTTATTAACTTTTAAAGTATACATACATATATTTTTACACAGTATCATTGCTAATACGAGTAATATCTGCTATTTTCAGAAACTAACTAGTTTTCTCTACAGAAAAGTTTCGATAAAAAATTACCCAGTACGGCATTTCCAATAAAGGTTCGTATGTAAATTCCTACGGGAACGGTGTCTAGGGAATTAGTGGTGGTACCATAAATCGGGCCCGCATAATGCAGTCGGCACAGACCGTCCCAGCGAGACAGCAGCGTTGGACACCATCCAACTTTTACTGGTGCAATTCACGAGCGATTTTTCTAAAACATTTATTTTTACTACCTAATTTTTTTTTAACAGTACAAATTAAAATCTATTAAACTTTGTTGACCAATGAAGCTCGGTGGCGTAGTGGATAAGCTCTGCGGCCCGCGATCGTAGTCGTTAAGCAACTTTCGCAAGGGTTGGTCACGGGATGGGTGACCAAAAATTATTATTTCGAGCTACTCCGTGCTTCGGAAGGCACGTTAAGCCGTTGGTCCCGGCTACATTTGCAGTCGTCGATACCCTCCAATCCGCATTGGGCCAGCGTGGAGGGTCATGGCCCATCCTCCTTAACCATCCATAAGGAAGGCAAAAATATGGACATAAACTAATCATAGATGACTATTATACTACTACTAATTATTTATTTATTTATGACTTACTAAAGTTTTCTCTGCTAAATAAACAACAAACGATATTAGCATAAAGTGTTAAGGTGAATAAAATTTTTATTTAACAAAACAAAGTCATGGTTAGTATCCGTTGTGTAATTTAAAAGATCTCAATCGCTGTCGCTTGTAGCTTAAGCTGGCTCGGTAGAGGATAAACGTAAAGTTACTGGATATAAGCGTATTACAGCTACATTTTCACGTAATGTTTGCGATTATTCTGTTAACGTCAGGAATGGTTGATTTGTTGATAGTATGCCGAGCTGCAGTCGTCATTTCACTATGGGGTTCTCTTTATAATAAAAATAAGTTTTATTTGTATAGGTTTATTATTTAAAGGTGATTTTTCCAAAGCACTGTTAGTCTATGTGGACTGGTGCAAGTTAGAAATAAGTACTAGGAGATAGTCGCCGTACCCGATGGGCAGGAAGATTTAGGCGAAAATATGATGACTTTTAATGCTTATGAAATGAAATTACCTATGGGCACTTATTTTAACAATGGTAAAAAACCGCCGTCGTAAAAAAAACTAACTGAAAAGACTGGAACAAAAAAATAATAATATTCTACGCCATACATAACATGCAGTCGGAGGCATGCACAGAGATTGATACGACTTATCAATTTCATTTTTTTCACATTTCGCCATTTTTTCGGTGGGATTTTAGTTTTTTTTTAAATCATAATTTTAATACTATTACGGTAATAATAATCATGATATACCTTTTTAAGATCCTTGTATTAAGCCCTTGAAATTGCAGTATGAGAAATAATTTTATTTTTTATATCATTAAATATAATGGCGTCGTACAGCCACCATATTAGATTTTTTTACGTTACCTATCTAAGAACACTTGGGCTACTAAGACAAATCTAATAATACCTCAATTATCTAAATCCGTTCAGAGGTTCTGAGGATATGAGGTAAAAAAGAATATTACATATTCTTTGTTTCTAATGAATATTTTGAAAATGTTCATTTAAAATACATAAACACTTCGAAAGTTTATAGATACCATCTTGGGGTATTATTTAATTATCAGTGTAGAACTGTGAATACAAAATTTTTCTTTAATTCGAACAGTTGGCATATGTTTTTTTCTTATTTACCACAATATCAGTATTTTGTAAGCGCATTAATTTATTCATTATTTTGTTCAGTTGTCAAAATAAAAGTGCAAGTTTCTTTTTAGCAGTCTAGTTTTTTGCTATTTAATATAATGGCAACTTAACGAAGAATTTTAAATCATTATCCATTGTCTGTGAACTCCACTGTACATCTGTGAACTAAGGTGTTTGTATGTTTGTGTGAAAGTCTTAGAACTCAGTGGCCCAATTCCTATTTTTAATAGCATCCTAACTCTCCGCCAGCGACTTCACCCGGTGGTCTTTAGGAAACTGTTTATTTGGATGTCGATTCATATCATGATAAGGATATAATTACAATGACAAATTGAATAGTAAATAATGGTTACTATGGTAACGTTTTAATTCCCTATACAAACTTCCACACCCATTTTCATCCCTATATTTGCTGTTTTTCGGTATAAAATATACCTTGTTTTCACCGCGTCATCATACGCGTATGATGGTCCAATAGTTTCGAACTCAATTCGATACAAACATACAAACAAAAAATTATAAGTTTATAGTTTATGATATTCGTTTAAATGTAGATTTCTTTATTGGTGAAAGATATAGCAAATCTATTTCCTACAAATGAAAATTTAATTACAATGATCTAAATTTTGTGCTTGCATTTGTTATTCTAGTGAATTATATTTTTCATGCAACAACCTATTACATTTTTAAGCCACTGTTTCCTCCCTGTCGCTTTAGCTTTATCTAAGTTCTGCACAGTAGCTCGAGCTGCAATAGATTTGAAACAATAGACTTATAGAATTAACAAAAGCTTCTAGATAACTTTGAAGTCTGTTGTGGAATATTGTGTCTGTAAAAATATATTTAGAAAAACGACCTCCGTGGCCAAGCCACTCACACGTTAGTTTCAAGGTGTCGCCAGGACACACAGGATTCGCTTCCCGGTCAGGTCAATATCGATAATGAACTTTTCTATATTGTCTTGGGTTTTTTTAAAACGCAGGGAAAATGTAACCTTTAGCCTTAAACTAGGGCTCTCCGACCCCACACCCATCCTGAAAAGCACAGGCCGAGGCCTGCCTACCTGATAAAACCCGCTGCGAATATCCTGTGCGAGGAAGGACCCGGCATCCGGCAAGGAGCCCGCCGGGTCATATTGCCTCGGGTCTGCGTGTTTTACCTTCGTTGTTTCAGATTTTCATCATACAAGTGCTTTAGCTACCTAATTTGGGATATGAGCAACGTATGTGATGTTGTCTAACTACTTAAGGTATATTGAATTGGTAATTTTTATGACATGAGTGTGTCCACAGAATATGTGTACTTCAATGAATTACCAAACTGTCTTATGTAACAAGATTATAGTAATAAATCCGTTTCGAATGAATTCAATAGCAGCACGTTCCATCGATGGATATAAACTAGCCAGTTGTCCCATACGAGGGGTCTTACCATGATCTGAATAGAAATACTTTTAGTGGGACACAATATTTGCTATACTAACAACGAGCCAAAGTATTGTGTGAAAAGTTAAAATTAAACAATATGTATCTCTATCCATAGAAAACCATTTCTGCGGAGTTTAGCCTATTGTTGTACGGGGTGGGTTCAGCAACTTATAACATCCCGTACAACAAAACGCAGTTCTCCACGGAAACGATAGAGTTCTATGGATTGCGATACATATCGTTCTTTTCGATCCTTGGAGAAAATATTTCTAGATAGTCTAACCAAAACAACCAGCCCTCTTACTCTGTAACTCTGAGAACAAAATATTACTTATGCTGAGACAGAGTCCTAATTGGCCACCACTTTTAAATAAATGCATATTTATACTGTATGTTATTTTTGCACTCAACAAATGTATTTTCCTCCTTTCTTTCAAATAAGTTGTTCACGGAGCTCTGTGGCCAAGCGGTCATACAAATACGTGATTTTGACACATTGAAATTTTCACTTTCTACGATGATTACAACTTTAAGCTGTCAGTTGAGTTAGTGAAAAGGCCTGTAGAATAACCAAGTTTCGCATCTCATCGGGAGTTCATGGTAAGACCCCAAGACCCCAGGAATCTTAATAGATGTAACATAAAATCTATCAGTTGCACTAAGACATGTGCCTAATGAGAAAGCTGGAGAGAGGAGTTAATGGCACTTAATATTAACACCGGTTACGTGATACAACTGATTGCAATTAATGCTTATTTATAACAGTTTCTTTAGTAATAGTATTTAATGAAATTGTTAATTTCTTCATTATCATTATTTTATCGATATGTCGGTTACATCGTTTGCATAAACTATCTATATATTTATTTAAGGTTTCCTTTGGTATGTTATTTAGTAAATCTTTATTACCGTGGTATTAAGTCATCTCCTGACCTTTGTGCTTCTATTATGCTTTGGTCATGACTGTTTTTGATTTTAGAAATGGTACTCTAATAATTAAAATACCAACCTATACTAATATTATAAAGGGGTAGTGTGTAAATGGGCCGATCACGAAAATTCTTTCACCTACGACAATCGAATGATGTATCATTCGCGGGTGTAACAGACTATAATTTATGCGAAAGAATTTGCGAGAAAAAAGTTGGTACGAGAATATTATAACTAGTTAAAATAAATAAACAAAAAGACTACATTCTGTTCCCTAAAATCGATGTTTTTACCATTGTTCTTATAATTACGTATTTATTAATACCATAGACTAGTATAAGGCGTATAATGACAAAAGAAATAAAAGAAATGGGAGTTATATTAGTAAATTAAGGATGTTGACGTCTCAGGTGTCGTGTGCTGCGTCCCAAGAGGTAAGTATTTACAACATTTTTTTTATTACTAGCTATATGAC